ACTCTCTGTACATCCCATTTCTCTGAAATATCCAGTTACGCCTCTCAAGTGTGAAGTTCTCAAGGTCCATTTTTTCTCATGAAGAGTTTCGAGAGGTGCAAAAATTATATTTTTGTTGAGACTGTCAAATCCAGTGAAATTCTTTTCCATCCCTTATATGTCTCAAATGCAGCATGTTAGTCCAGATATGAATTAAGCAACTTGATCAAATGGTATGCTATAGCAGACTTAGAAAGTGCCAGGCAGAAAGTTGGACAGAACTGTTTTTCATTATTTGTAACACATGGATGCTTCGGGGCAAGGGATTCATTTTTCTGTCCAAGATTCAGCATTGTTAGGAACTAGCCATGCCTCCAGGTAGAATTATCACAGTCTCCTTCCTTTCCTACAACAGATGGCAGGACAATGATGTCATTAAACATAATTTCATCCCTTACGGTACCCTATTGCTACATCTTCTCCTTTCACGTTAATGAAACCTCTAGTGGGTAGGAAAGCTCAGTGGCATAGTTAGTTAATGGAATTTGTAATAGATACCATATATTGGGGGGGGGGATTCTATCAGCAGATGTCTCTGCTTAGGTGAATGGGAAGCAAGCCAATGAAACGAAATAAAAATCTTACACATTTGAGATTAGCATAGTGCAAATAATTTAAAAGGCAATGAAAGGTGGCATAGGTTCTCCTACGTATTTGGCAGCCATGAAGTATAAAGCAGCACAACCCATAAGACTGGAAGCAAGGTACTGCAGGCAGTTATGTAGCAATAGTGTTACTGTAAGACATCAACTTTAAGGATAGTTTCAGCGCAGACTAACAATCCATTTAGTGCAATAACCCTTCTAGCCCTCTGTCTGCTCTTTCTGTTAGTCTAGGGATTCAATGGAGTAACAAGAACTTGTTATTTAATTTGTTACCCACCATTGGGTTCTGAATAGAACAAGTGGCTTAGTAATGGAATACAATGAAGAAAAAAGCAGCAACAGCTGTTCTACAGTATAGGAAGATTAAAGAAAGCACCATTCAAAGTGCACAATGTATGCCATACAGGTCAGGGAAGACTCACGGTGGCTAAAATCCAGTAATAAGTCACAATCATAGCAGGCTCATTGAATCAGTGGAGATTTGGTGAGGCAACTCCTCCATAAATTCTACTGATTCAGTGGGCCTATTCTAATTGCGATTTATAGTGGATTTCAGCATAAAGTTCCTAGAACTTTGCAACTGTGGCTTTTTACATGATTTTGGATTAGCCCCAATAATTCCTCATCATTGGCTATGAGGTTGATGAGAGTTAATGACCATGTGCCATCAAGTCAATTCTGACTTATGGTAATCCTTTTCAGGGTCTTCCAGATAGAAGGCAAATTGGGGTTAGAAACTGAAGGAGAAGGGCCTTCAACTTTTGCCTAAGCCTCAGTCCTGATCAAGCCCCCCCCAAGACTCACCTTCCATTTCAGAAAGGAAGCTCTCATTGACAGCAGGTGTGTTTGTCATTATACTTCAAGAATCTGAGTGGCTTAATGTTCTTGGGAAGGCTGGCATCACCATATCTAATGCTTGTCCACAACCCCTAAGGCATCACAGGAGTCTTGGAGTGCACCCTCAGTCTATAGGGAAGGACTTCTTACTAAGTGTTTCCCCCAGTAGTATTATGAAAAGCAACATTACTTGCTCGCCTATGACTGATCACTGCTAGAAGGAGCCTAAAGCAATATTTTAAGGTTTTAAGAACACATTATGGCCTCTTTCAAGAAATGACATTAAGAAGGTCTTCCCATCTTTTTTAATCTTATGAATATGGTTAATGTGGCATATAATTCAAGGCGATATTTTAAATTCAAAGGGCAGTTGCCACAGACAATGGCTGTTTAATGTGATGATGAGTGCATGATCTTGTCATTAGTATGCAGCCTCACTTTAAAAAAAACAACCCAGACATTATTGGTCTCCGGTTGCCACGTCAGCTACAGGGAATCACCTTTGTCCAAAAATATGACCTTCCTTGCAGTTAAAAAAGCACTAAGCCTAGACTTTGTGTTTAAAGCACACAAATATTAACAATTCAGATAGATATCTGATGCCACTGTAGACCTGAGATGAGGGAATAAATACAATAATGTATGTGAGTGGTTTTTAAAAAATTGTGAAAGCAACATGATTGTATAGATGATCCTAACACCAAAAATAGTGGCCATTAATATTCTCATCAACAACAGCCAGTAAACTCAGCAACATGCAAGGCCAGTTCTGCATCCTGTGAGGTTGAGTGTTAATTATTTGACAACAAAATGTCGCCATGGCTTATTTTAAACCCTTTCTCTGTGCGATTTTCACTACACGATTAAGAGGCAACATAAGGCTCTTAAGATGTATCCTGCTCAAGGTCTTCTTTCCAAAATGATCATCATTATTGAAGAACTGGAGAAGACGTGCGAGGTTTTCACCTCAAAAAGGCTGTATCTTGAGCTAGATATGTGCCTGTGTTCACTTTAATGTTCCTTATCTCTGGTCCAAAGTATTCAAAATGTTATATACCCTTATCACTGCAGCACTGAGCCACTTACTTTCTAAACTGAAAATGCCAAATCTTTTCAGCCTTCTATATCACAGACAATTTTAGCTCTGGTCTTTTGTTCATTTTCCAGGTTGACTTTATGCTTTTTTTTAAAAGCTCACCATTGATTTACACTGCATTGCTATAATTTTTTCTGCAATATAGGTCAGGTGCAAAAAAGAAAAGAAGAATCCTTTTTCTTGAAAGGAATTTGAAGCATAAATGGCAATGTTTTGAGCTTAAATTAACTGTTTCCACCATGAAAATTCCCCCTGCTCCACATCTTTCTTCTCTTCAAAACTCAGACCAAATCCTGTATAAGTTGTTAAACCCTATAATTAATTTAATAGTTTCTATGACTGTTTTGCTCAAGAGAACTTTTTATAGGCATGGGCATCAAAGCAGAGATCCACAAGTGCTGGATGTACAAAAAGTGTGGAGATCTTCTTTCATTTCAGTTTAGGAGGGCAATCTACAATCTAAGGAAGTTCAGGCTTTTCCCCATAAGAGGCTTATTTACTGTCTGCTCACCTCTGCAGACTGGGAAGTCTGCATAGATGAGGAGGTACCCATTCAAGAAGGCTTCTGCTGTAACTTTGTGCAGTTCTAGCTTGAAATATAAATGGTAAGCCCAAGAGGAGGGTCTTTGTCAAAGAAAACTTGAAATTTCAATTCCATATTATCTCCTTTTTTCAGTATCTAAAATATAGTTGTACTACAATAGAATTAAATATAACGAGGAACAACATCATTCCCTTTCTTATACAGTGGTGCCTCGCTAAACAATGATAATCCGTTCCACTGAAATAGCTTTTTGGCGAAATCATCGTCTAGCGAAAAGCATTTCCCCATTGGAATGCATTGAAACCTGTTTAATGCGTTCCAAAGGGGAAGAATCGTCATTGTCTAGCGAAGATCGGCCATAAGAAAGCCGCTTTGCGAACTGCCAATCAGCTGTTTAAATAGCTGTCTTGCAAAGCTTAGGTCCCGAATACACCCATTTTGCAAGCACGGAGGGAGTTGACAAAATCGTTGTCTAGCAAAAATCGGTTTGTGAAGCAGGGACCAAACATTGTCCAGCAAAATTCCCCCATAGGAATCACTGTTTTGTGAATCGCTATAGCGATCGCAAAAAGTCAATGTCTAGCGAAAAAACTGTCATGCGAGGCACCACTGTATTACTGTAGCTTTTCAGTTGCTTTTATAATATTGGAGGTATGATCTTACTAAACTGAGAAGAAGGAATATGACATAGTTCATTTTGTGCATCATGCTGCTGAATGGAAAATTTTCAGGTGTGGATGTTTAAAAGTAACAAATTTAGCTGAGCTTTTTCTTAAAAGTGAACAGAAAAGTAAAGTGTTACATTGTATACATGGTAATTATAACACTATCTATTGGGAACTACAATTATAACTAATTTTCCACTGGTTCAAATATATTGCTCTAAAAACAGTACAAGATTAATTTTAGGAATAAAGGCAAAGAATTATTTTGTTCATGTCTGAAAATCTCTCGGATTGATATTGGCTTGGTGGCTGGCAAAACATATTTATTTGACACACAGAAAGGAGAGCATGCTAGCCTAACCCCCATCTCTTCACTCTGCTTCTGTGAAAAGTGATGGTTTACCATATGAAAATCGATTATGCCCCTGTAGCGGCAATAAAATTGAAACATTGGAGCATGTCCTTTTCATATGCAGTTTTTACAGGCATGACTGTACCAGCCTTCTTAACCTTGTAATGAGAGATCTCACAGTTAGGACCCTGGATTGGTATCTAAAATATTTTTTAGCTGATTCAATAAGACAGAGATAGACCCTAGTGGCCGAGTTTCTTGTTTCTGCACAAAGAATACGTAAGAATTCTTGCCTCTGTCTTACAATATTTTTTTCAGTTTTTCAGTTATGCCATCCAATTTTAAACTGTTCTAATTAATTTTGAAAACTTTTTATCATGTCTGTGACCATACAATAAAGATTGAATTGAACTGAATTGATAGGTTGGAAGAGGTATAACTCTACCCATAGAGATTCCTGGCATGAGTCAGAAAACTGGTTCTAATATCTATATGGAGCCTCCACAGCAGAAGAGTCTCCCCCTCAGCAGCCCTTTTGCCTTTTCACATAAGCAGAGATACAATGGAGTCATAAGCAGCTGGTGAATTTTTGGGGCACAGCACCCTCCTGCTTGAATGATGAATCACCCCTGGACAGAGGATCAGTGATCTTATGCTTCCTTTCTTATGCGTTGTAAACATACTTAAAAGCAATGAAAAAGAACTACAGTGAAAGTGTTAAAAATATCGGTGCCTTCCTATTTGAATCCACTGACCTCACACAAACGTTCCACAAGAAAAGACCTTGAATTTGTCTGCAGATGGTAATTCACTGTATATTTCCACATGGACATGTTAAATGAAAGTGAATTCCCATCCTTACCATTCTTCTTTATCTGCATCACAGTTACAAAAGTATCTCAGGTCCAAGCAGCTTTCTTCCAATCCACAAGCGCACTGCTGGACTCTTGGAAGAGACCCTCCCCAGTAAGGATGTTTCTCATTGGCACGGCCAACCCACCAAACAAAGGGCATTCCATCTGAGGAGAAAAACAAATAAACAAACACACTGTGGTAAAAAATGAGAATAAAGGCAACACATCAAGACAACACACAGGCAGGCCTCCTTCTTGTCACAGCTGGGGGATGCCTCATTCTATATCTTTAAAAAAAAATGCATACAGCAGAAGTCAGCATTTTGAATTCAGTATTTCAGATCTGCATATTTCACTATAAGATAATGCTTGGAAGGCACTTCTTCCTTCTCCGTTACTAAGGCATAAATATTTGTAAGCTTAGCATTTCGAATCAAGTATTACCTTTTGGAAACTCAGAAAATGACAAGAATTGCACATTTTTTTTTTGCACAAGAGTGCATTAGGCAGATATAACTGCCTTGTTGTTGCATCTCTTCTTACAAGAAGGTACTCTTGTAGGATATACCAGTAGCAATTTTTGTCTGAAACTGCTACTCCATTTTCTAGATTGCAGTGAAGAAGAGAAACTTGCAACTAGTCTTTCAAAAGCTATTTTCAGATTCAAAATAACTCTATATTATATAGTGCATGGTCCAAAACAGGTTTTCTTTCTCAGAACACCCCTCAGCTTCTTCCTCAGTGACAAAGAGCAGGGTAGCAATACAGTCTCAATATTGGACTTATCGTGTGTGTATGGATGCATATGCATGTTTGCACACTAAACATAATGCACAACTTATTAGAAGCAGCATAACTGTACTCCTATACATAATTACCTGGACGCATATGCAGCATGTTACACCACAGGAGTATGGTGAAACGTGCCCAAACCCCCCTCCCCCAAATTTGTTCACAAGCTGGCTATGCCTGGCAATAAGTTACATTTAACAGTGCTTATTTCTGGACTGCAGAATGAGCTTTAAGAGAATACCTGCTGGAAAACAGCCTATGTAGTCCTTGGGGGGGGGGGCATATGGATGAGGTGGATGGCCTACCATGCACAAATGGCATTCCAAAGTTCTCCACCTTATTTGTAGGAACAGAACTGAAAAGACTTCTTTTATTTTCTGAGCTTACTGTGATATTGCAAAATGGCTGACAGTGCTATATATACTGTATTACATATTTTATTCTATTAAATTCTATTACATATTTTATCACCCTTCTGCAGCTTCCCTGGCTGCTCACACTTCCTGTTATGAAAAAGCATCAAGGAGGGAATTATATCTCCCCCCTGGGCTTTAAATGAAGTCTATGGGAAGCTTGGGAGTGGCAGGAAGCTCCTAAAGAGTTTATTAAACAATGAAAGAGTATATACATACATATACACTCCTCAGTCATATTATAAGTAAGGTAAGCCCAACAACCCTGTACCTCACCCATGAGTAATTCTCCAAAATTTCTCCCCTGCTCCAAGCTATTTATTTTTGTATCAAATTTATTGAGACTTGTTCAAGTTCTCATGAGATATATACTTTAAAAGGAATTGGGTGTCATTGCAAACCACCTGTAGAAATCAATTTTTTAGAAGTAACCATCAATTTTAGAAGTAACCATACACTTTGTAAGTTTTCAGAAGCAGTTACAGCTTTGTAAGTTTTCCAAAGCAATTAAAAGATACTTTTAGTTCCTTTTTTTAAAACAAATAATAATAATAAAATAAAATCCAAATGCTACAAGCCCATGACCTGTGGTACAAAACACTGTTCTGTCCATCTCATTACCTAAACAGAGCACAAAGCAACAACATGAGTCAACAATGGAACCATGGGGTATTTCTCCTCTAACGTTTATCATGGCTGTACGCCATACTCTCAGCTATAGGTAAAGCCTCAAGTCAGCCCAAATTACAAGGATGAAGGATTTAACCAATATACTTTCCATAACTATAAAATAGTCATAACACAAATTAACTGATTAACCAACTAAGTCTTAGGTCAGTCAGAGAACAGAAAGTGGGAATGATGGAGAGAATTTTAAAAGATAAAGAATTTCCCAAGAGAAACATGTTCAAATAAAAGTAAATTTTTGTATTAGGTCTGCAATTCTTTACTGCTTATCAAGGTAGATAAAAGCACAGCTTTCCTGTAAGATCTTGAGGGCTTTTTTTTTAAAAAAAAACCTGGTCTTTCAAAAATAATTTGTGTACTGTGCAGACTTAGTTCTTCTCTATTAAAATATCAGCAGCAACCAACTGTATTAGATGAGGGCATACCAACAAAGGAGGAAAACCGTGAAACATGAAAGGAGTTTAATTATTAGGTACAGTAAACTAATTATGAGGTGAGAAGAACTGTGCAAAGCCAGGTCTTCTGTTCCCTATTGGATTATCCTGAGTTTGGCCTTTCACAGTGCAAACTGTTGTAAGAAACAAATCTCGTGAAAGTTTTCTGAGCAATAAAACTCATTGGATTCGGTCAGCATTGCTCCCAATACATTGCCTTCATCTATTTCTCCCATAGTGTCTAGAAAGTGTGACAACCTGACATAGCCCACTGCACTGCCTCTGATTTTGCATTTTTCTGACTTGCTGACATAATTAGTGCACATTATTCTCAAAACACTCTTAATTCTTTACTCTTAAAATTATGGTTGTGATTGACAACATAGGAAAGAACTGAAACAATGCTCCAGAAACCAGCCGCCCAATTACGTTGCCTGTACAAAACTAGCAAAAACTATCATCGTCGTTGTTTAGTCGTTTAGTCATGTCCGACTCTTCGTGACCCCATGAACCAGAGCACACCAGGCCCTCCTATCTTCCACTGCCTCCCAGAGTTGTGTCAAATTCATGTTGGTTGTTTCGATGACCCTGTCCAACCATCTCATCCTCTGTCGTCCCCTTCTCCTCTTAGTCCCTCTTATACAGAAGGTCACAGAACTATTTCAATGTATTTGCCCAGCACTCTCATACCAGCATTTTCACATTTCTTGGAAAGATGGCTAATATGGGACTAGTTAAACAGGGCAGGGCACTTTGAAGTCATGTGCACACTTTCCTTTTATGATATGGATGAGAAAAGTAGTTCACACGTTCATTTAGCAGGCATAAGATTCTGGAATGTGTATATGCCCCCACCTTCTTCCCTCATCAATCAATCAATCAATCAATCAAAGTGTGTTGTTAATTCTGACTTAAGCCCCCCTTTTTTCAGGGTTTTCTAGGTAGAGAATACTCTGTAGCGATTTACCGTTTTTTTCTTCTTGGGGCATTCTGCAACTTTGCAGCTTGCGAATGGCCACACGGGCTGGCTCTACTCAAAGGAAGCACAGTGGGGAACTGAACTCTGTACCTAAACCACTGAGCTATCAATCCAGACTAGATCAAACTCTGAAGAAGGTAAATCATCTCACCAAAATAGTTAACTGTCTTATCCGGAACCTCCTTTTCTCTATTGTTTCAACTGCCCATTCATTTACACATACCTTCAGCTTAGAGATTGAGAAAGTCATACGCTGTGATACAGATCCAAAATCTCCCAGCAAACATGGCCAGTTGTAATACAAAAAGTTACTTTTTGTAATACAAAAAGGACCAATTATTCTAGAATTAATTAAATGTCCTGCTTGGGGGAGGCAGAACAATGTTTAGAAATTAGTATGTATACTAGCAAAATGTTTGTTATGCTTAAGGCAGAATTCATAGGCACATTCAAGTACGTTTAGTGTTAGCACTTTTATTTTACTGACAGCTTGAACACACATGACAGAACTCATCTGTCTAATTAAAATGCACTAATTCAGAGGAAGACAATATTTAGCTTTAAAATACAACTTTGTGTGGCTATTAGGAAATAATAGAGAGCATTCATCAAAGTCAAGTGGCATATTATTGCCTCTTGGAGAGCATCATTAAGCCAAAGCATAGTTATATGATAAACAGCCATCACCAGGGTATTAAGAATGAACAGTTTGATAATATCTTCTCTGTGCTTGACTATCTCTATTTTATAGTACTAAACCAACCCAAAGATTTATGAAAGTCCCCCAAAGTAGCAGACTTGCCAATGCTTGAGTCGTTTAAAACCCAGCTAAACAGAGAACTTGCTAATATACTGGAGGGAACAATCTGACACAGGATAGGGAATAGACTTCAATGGTCTAATGTATCTTTTTTAGTATCTCTTGCAGCATCTGATTCTGCCACTAAGAAATGAAATAGTATCTCACTTGAAGAGCAATAAGAGGAGGAATGAGGGTCATATAGACCCTCATATTAGTTCAACAAAGAACTCTAGCAATGCTTTAGAAGGATATAATTATGCTCTTAGCAATGCATGTTTCACTAACATGCTGTTCAGAAACAATATCACAATTTTGTAATGTTTTCTTTTAATTATTCTAAAGTGATCCCATTTAACATGCTTTCTCTGAATATCTTAAACTAGATTTAAAAGAATACAAGGAATACCCTGTCAATGGCAAACATTGCTACATGCAACCATTAGGTTTTGCATAGGCCATCATAAGAATGACCTAGAGATGAGATTTATTGAAAGTGGTTATTTTGTTAGTAAGGGCAATCTTATGCTCTGTAGATTTCAGTGTATCCATTTCAGTGGATCTGTTCTCAAATATGACTAATATGATTCCAATGCAATGGCTAAAATCCTGTTGTGCATTATGGGAAAGACATAACTTTTAGATGTGAATTGCCATAAATTATGAAATGTCTGTAGGCATTACTCATTGCATACTGAGTTATGTGACTCAGCATACAATAGATAATGCCAACAGACACTTCTTAACTTATGGCAGTTCACATCGAAATGATGTCATCTGTATAAGTACACAACAGGATTTCAGTCAACATATCCAGAAGAGGTGGACTTCCACATGCCTGAGATTTAGCCCTGGAAAAAGAATAATACTTTTCAAAAGCAAAACTCAGAACACGTGATGCAGTAAACTGAATCTTGAGACATTCCCCTCAAACACAGTAAATTTTAAGGTTTCCTTGATTTCTGCATTATAATAAAATAATATAGTGTTCCCAGATGTCGAGGGAACAATTGGGATTAGTATTTTATAGCTTCAATACTCAGCAGAAGGAAAATTATGTA